TGTTAAGTTTTCACATAAATAAACACAAATTGAATTATTATTATTATTATTATTATTATTATTATTATTATTATTATTATTATTATTATTGCTGTCTATGCTGTTGTGGTCAAAACTCGTGCCTATTTAGCTAATTAAGTTGGATTTGCAAGGCGAATATTCTAATCTGACTCCAGTTTCATCAAGATTTTCTTCAGCACAGCATTTTATCTAGTGTATTTATTGTCTCAGAAAGACCAAGTTGAATGCAGTTTCTTCACAAATTCAAATTGCTGATCTAGTTAGAACCACAGCTCCAGTATTCTTGTGGTGATTTATTTTTCACATCAGTGTCATGCAGAGAACCCTGCTATTGAAGTGCGTGTATCATCATTTCAATACAGTACTGTAAATGAGGACATAAATCAGAAGTGTGAATGTCTTGCATGAACAGAAACATGAGAATGAGTTATATGTTTTACAGTGAGCCATTTTCAGGCATGGTTATGGAGCCATAAAAGGTAAACATTAACTCCGTAACAATGCAGCTGATGGGAAAGGGGCAGGATCTTCCCAACTATTTATTTCTGGAAGCAGGTTCACCTCCCATGTGTGTTCTTCTCATAGGTGAGAGAGATGGATTCAGGTCGTAGAGAAAGACATTGTGTATTTCCTACCTTGAGCACTGTAACTAGGAAGGGGTTTACAGTTGCTTATCACAGTGAGTGAATGCATTAATGCAGTTTTTGCTGCGAGCAAGAGATGAAGAAATCACAGATACTTAGATTATAACATAAGTGTATGACTGTATTATAACTTGGATGTTACTTAATGAATTCAGGTTGTGGAAGCAGCTGGTATCAAATTCCCAGATTTCAAAGGCAGTGGTGTAAGTCTACGTTCTCAGCGTATGAAGCTTCCTGCCAGTGTGGGACAGAAGAGAACCAAAGCTATTGAGCAGCTACTGCAGGAGCTCTCTATAGGTATTGCTGCTAATTAGTTGTGCCAAAATAAGACAGAAATGAATAATCTTTAAACAACTGATGGAAGGGAGCAAGGATTTTAAATGAGTTTTAATCATTACTAATATTTTTTTAGTACCTCTATTTTTTTTTTGGAAGCAAATGTGCTATTTGACCAGTTGACTGACTAGCAGAATCTACATATTTCCTCATGTAGGGGGGTATGCATGACAAAATTAATGGCTTCTAGATTGGATGAATGGATTTATTGGTGTTCCTTTACAATTACATTTGATTTTGACAGCTTACAATCACTGACTGTCTTTGATGTGCTTCATTCCTTGCTGGATAATGAGCATCTTCCCTTCTGCTATGACGAACAAAGAATTCCTGCTCACACCTTGAACTGCCTTGAACGATGGCTGTCTCTCAAAAGCACACTAATTTGCTTATGACTTCTGACTGCCTGCTTAGATTATATGCATACTCATCAGAGATGTGTTTCTGTTTCAGAATTGAACCCAATGCCTACAGAAGATATATGCATACACTTCAATGAACTGCGTAGTGATATGGTGCTGCTCTACGAGTTGAAGTCTGCATTGGCAACATGCGAATATGATCTCCAGACTCTTCGCCATCAGTATGAGGCTTTGAATCCTGGCAAGGTCAGTGGTATCAACACCTAATGTAATTCATCCTCAGCAATTGAAGCAGTCTGAAATAGTATCATTGATCATTTTGTTTCAGCCAGAAATAGAGTAAAGTGATATTTTAGTACCTGGATTAAGTGAGATTATGTAGCAATTTTAGTTCATTTGGGTATGTAGCTGAATATTTTTGTATCATACTTTATACTGCTACTCTTACTCATTCTGATGTTAATGTTATGTAACTGAAAGGATAAATTATATGTTAGCTGAATATTGTCTGTATTAACATAGGTATTTCAATGAATGGTTATATTGAAGACATGAGATGTATCATGTTTTTTGCAGGGCATAGTTGCTGATATTATTTTAAATTTGTATAGATATATGTATATATGTGATTTGTTGTCAGAGTCTCTAATGATGATATTTAAGTGTTGATGGATATGTGTTTACTACCCTGTATATTTGAACATGATACAGAAGAGATGTCAGAATGTGAAGGTGAGACACCCTAATAAAGTAAAGGTAATGGAAAACAATTGAATCGATTATTTGAAAAGGAGAACATGTCTGACTTCTAGCTGTTGGGCATGTTCACTTTCCAAATTAATCAGTTCACATGTAAGCAAGTGTTGAACAAGAATTCTTTGTGCATCCATTTTGATTGTTAATTAAATATTCTGAAATTTTAAATCTGGATTTTGGAAAGAATGCTTTGTTCATGAGTCATTTTTCTACATGAACTAACAAATTAGGAAAGAACAGTATTATTCTCCTTGAAAATAATTTTCCTTATTCTTTAAATTAATGTAACAGGTAGTGAATTAGTGGCATCACTTTTTTCTGAAAATGGATGGGTCAGGTACCATCTGAAGTATGATATTTACTTGCATAATCCTCACTTCCCCCCCCCCCTTGAATTTTATGTTCAAAAACATAATGCAGGATTACTTGCAGAATTAATGTAAACCCAAGCTGTAACTTGCTTACCTAATTGTATGGAACACACATTTAATGTTTTCTGATTTAAAATGTTCTCTTGTTAAGTGAAGCGTTTTGAAGGTCAGTCCAGCTGTTTTATGTTTTTCCATAATTTAGTGTTCAACTTCACTGAATCCTGAAGCAGTCTGAAATGTAGATATTGTATATGCACTGTACCTACATATACTACTGTATTTTCCGGACTGTAAGACATTCCCAGATTTTATAGGGAAAATTTTGTGAAGTACTTGGGTTACCTTTGGGCTCTAAGAGTCACAGATTGTAGCAGCATGTTCCACAAAGGAAGCTGTGCCTTATACTCTAGCTTCTTTCTTAATGACATAATAAAATGCTGTACCATGCAGAGAAGTATAGCTCAGCATATGATTACTAGTCTTTCTTTGTCTTAGTTCAGAGGATTTATTTGTTGTAGCATTAATGCGTCATAAACTGAAATACTGTGAATTCAGGACATGAAACATTGCTACCATATTTTCCAGTGTAGGCTGTTACTGCATTGTTGGAGTATTTATCTATTATTCCTGTTGTGACTCTGTCTGAATTCTGTTCTACACATACTCTCCCACACCTGACCTGAGGTGGGATAAGTATTCCCCTACTTAGATTACCATATCTGACTTAGGTCAGATTGCAACACAAACTCCTGTATGTTGTAGTTTATGAGTAGGGTGTTCCCTGATTTTGCTGGTCAATGAATGCATTAGAAGTACCCTGACACTTTAAAAACCTGGGCTGGTCACATAAAATTATGCACTGTGAGGCTGGTAGAGAACGTGTTAACAGCATGGAAGACAAGAATAATATGTTTTCCTGTTGATGTTTAGCAACAGCAGAGTGAGGTTGAGGGACATTTCACATGAATTAAATGGTGTCAGAATGTCAGTGTTCTATGTTATGGCTTATAGGTTAGAATAAGGTCCAGTGCCAGGGTTTATGTGTGACAGTGAAAAGCCTTCAAGTTTAATTGCAAGAAGGAGTTTCCTTAAAAGCTTTCGTCTGTTGAAAAAGGCTGAACAGTTTAATTCCTTGAATATCATGGAGAAATCATTGTGCTCTTACCCAATTTTATGTCTGCAGCCTTTAGTTTTGTTTTGGAATTTGGTCAATATTTTTTTGGTGCCAGAACAATTTGGTTAAAAAAATTATTTAGGAAATATTAGTCTGTATGGACTTTGGAATGGTCTGGTGTAAATGACTTTTCAGTTGAATGCTTTTAAGTGAAAACTGAACGCTCAAGGGGACAAATGTTTGAAACTTGAATATTGATTGTAACTTCAGTATAATCCAATAATGAAACCTTGATTTTACACTTTTGAAGGGGCCACCTGAAATAAATGTAAAATTGAGGAAAGTGTAAAATCAGATAAACTAAAATGATGTAACATGAAAATGTGGGTTACGTTATACCAGAACTTTGGCAGGCTATTTAAAACATACATGTTTGAACATGATAACTGTATGATGGGTGCCTCAGTTGAAAGAATTACTCACATGTGATTGCTTGAAACGTGACGAAAACTCAGCTCTTCCAGCGATGAATGTTTGAAAGATTTCCACTACTTGGAGGAGGGTCACTTTCTGGGCATAAAATTTTTCAGTATCTTCACAGTTTGATGCATGCTAAAATGTATGCATCAACTTGCAATATGATATTAATATTATCACATATTGTAGATGCTTCTCTTTTTGGTATACTATCCATATTTTAGACCAAGAAACTTAACAGATGGATTGTCACATACATTTACAATGCCAACCATTGTGTAGCTCAGTCAAATTTGTGGTAAAACAAATTAGTGCACCTATCCAAGTGCAATCATGAACATGAATGTGTGTTCATACTTGCAGTTGGTTATGCTCACTCATGTTATAGTCAGAAACTTTCGTCATGACTGAATATGAACAAATCAGNCTTATACTTCTTCAACCCTGAAGATGGGGGCGATACGTTCCTCCGAAACGTCGGTTAACACCACATATACACGGTGCCAAATCCCAGAAGACTGCTTTCTTCAAATCAGTACCTGTTCCCCCTCCCCCCAAGTGGAACATTGCAAATGTACAGTTTATTAAATTTCTGTTGTCAGAGCTTGAAAAATAGAATGCAACTTGACAAAAATGTAAAATTGGTTAAAATTTAACATTGTGCTTGTGGGCCTTTGGTGGGGTCCAATAAAAAATGCATAACCTCATGGAAAACATAAAATCCAAGAGAGCAGAATCGAAGTTTTCTGTGTATGTCTATGCAATAGTTACCTATGTTATTTATTTTAGAGTTGCTTGGTTCAGAACATAAAGTGGAAGCAGTGTACTGTTATATGAAGGTTTTGAACCTGGTGTGATTTGGTGGGGTCCAATAAAATGTGCATAAACATAAGAAGAACATCAAATTCAAGAGAGCAAAATTGAAGTTTCACTGTATGTCAATGTAGCAGTTGCCTTTGTCATTCATTATGAAGTTGCTTGGTTCAGAACATAAAGTGAATACAGTGTACTGTTGTTTGAAGGTTTTGAACCAGGTGTGTTAAATAGTGAACTAATGGAAAAGTTACTTAATATAATATTATTTTTATAGTATTGCATATAGCAGAGTGCATGCATTAAAATTTTAAAAATGCTTTACCGGTGTTATCTGTCATAGTTTCAGAGTTTTTATTCTCTTAATATATTTAAGGAGTATTTTTCCCAGTTAGTGACAGAGCACCTAAACAACATGAACATTGCACATTTTAAATTAGTTTACTCTTTGAGAGTATACTATATTCAGATATAGTATAACCTTTGTTATTTGTAAATGGTTCTCAGATGTTTTCCGTAGATGGTTCTGTGGTACTACAAGATGCATTTTGATCATCTTGAGATATATTTTTATTCTTGGGCACTGTGTATGAGGTGCATCATTTTAACACATTTAAGAACAAATAGTGAGCGTGTGGTTTTTATTGCACTGAAAGATGTACAGAAGTTCTCATTTATTCATTCAATATAATTCTATGACATACTTGAAGGGTTTAAGAATGTGAACGGTTGGGCTTGTTGTAGCTTATGACCAGTTTGGATAAAGGTAGCTGATCTCTAACTTTGGTAGGTAATATGTATAACAAGATTCAAATGTTTCTTGCATACGTAGCATTATTTTCCATCTTTGAATAGAATGAACTCATTGACACGTACCTGAATGCATACTCTGTGTATAATGGGGCTACAAGGAGATAAGTTTAATGTAACATATACTGTACATTAAGTTAAATGTTAACCATAATTTTAGTTTTTTTCTGGTTTTCAATAGAGAAGAAATGAAGATTAACTTTGCAGTTCTCATTTTTTTGCTTTTAAGTCATTGAAATCACATTGATTCAGTTCTGAAAGATAGTGCTTCCTTGTCCTTTGCAAAGCTGAAGTGGTGAACGAGAGTCAGTCATTTTTCAGTGTGGGAACAACAGCAACGTCTGCAACTCTTGCTAGAACTACAGAACTTACATCATTTTTCTGCAGTTGTATCTGTTCTTGACTTCCTGTCTTCAGTAGATACCTGTGATTTGCACCTTGTTTTGTAGACTTTTGAAGGTAAGATGCTCTTGTTTTTATGTGGCCTGCAATCTTTGCTCATGATAGATGTGACAATAATTGCATTGCCCCTCCCCCAGATGTTTACCTTCTAACTAAAATGTTTCTTTAAATTTCCTTTTGGGATAAAATATATCATTTACAAAATAGCTTTGGGTTCTAAACTAAACTTCAAGGATGTAAATGTGAATAATAGTGGTTCTCTCATTAATACATTGTGTATGCATGATCAGTATTAGAAAAAGAAACATTTCTTGAAGCATTTGAAACCACAAATATATCACCTTAGCAGAAACAGTGTCCTTGGTCCTTTTATTCATGACTGTAGGGTCATGAAGCTCCTCTATTCAGAAGTAACATTTTAGCTCTTTTTTTTTAGAGTAGCATGGTGCTTTTTACTAATAATTGGTTGAATCAGCCTTATAGAGGAAGTTGGTATGAGTGTG